TGGACTAGCCTCCGGGGATAAAATCAGCAATTTATGCAACACAGGTGTGGCATGATGGAGTATGTCGTTGTGCATAAAGTCTCTGAGCTCCGAAATCTTGGAGATGTCTCCCTTGCAGAGGTCCTGGCAAAGCAGTGTGGGCACCCTCAGGAGCAGATGTGAGGGGCACAAGGCTCCCCCTTTCTCCATACCCTTTCTCATGCCAGGGGCATCTCCCCTCCCTCCCCACTGCCCTCTGCTCACATTCACAGGACTGCTGGGCAGTGGGCCAATCACTCTTCTGCTCTGGATGCAGCTGGAGGCTGAGGGAGTGAAGTAGCTGTGGTGACTAAGGCAGCAGACAGGCCTGTCTGGGCCCCCCCCAGCCCACTTCACACATCTCCAGGAGACACAAGCAGAGGCAGGGACCAACTGAGACACCCGCATCAATCACCTCCCTCGCCTCTCCCTGATGCCTCTGACTGATACCCCCTCCTCCATCCCCAGCAGCCCGTACCCTCCCTGCAGCCAGTGAGAGGAGAGGAGGGTTAAAGATCCCCACTTCAAGGCTGGTTGAGGTGTGCAGATATGTGTGGGGATGTGGGAGCAGCAGCTGAAAATGGTGCAATCGGGGAGGAAAAGTGAGGGAGTGCAGGGAATGCTACCAGAGGAGAGTGAGCATGTGGCTGGAAGAGGGATCTGCCAGTCCTCTGCTCTTGCCATAGTCAGCAGGCCAAGTAGTGCCAAGAGCCCTGCTCCTGCAACTTTGCATGAGGAGCTGGCTGGGCTGGGGGGCGGAGCATCTGAACTTTGTCTGCTCAAGGTTTTGAGTCTTGCTGGCTCTGCACAAGCAGAATTGCTGAGAGCTAATTCAACAGGCCTAGCGAGGGGGGAGCGGATGGGGATATGCTTCCAGCATAGCAAGGAAGTGAGTTGGGTTGAAGGAAAAGGAAGGGTGAGGGAACCTGGGAACTCTGAATCCAGGAACTTTGAATCCAGATATTACATGCAAATAGAAAGGGAGAGAGCTGCAGCTGCTCAGCCACATGCCAAATGATGAGTTATTTTGTTGCATTTCCAGCAATGGTGATGGATAAACGAGCAGGCCAAATGCTGGGGCCCCTCACTCCCAACCTGCAGGCCCCTGCTCCCCCCTCCAGTTCTGCTGAAGGGACCTCTCAGCTGCTCCATCCTGCTCTGGCCGGAGTGCGGTGGCTGCAGTGGCTCCAGTTCATGCGGGCAGCAGTGGAGCTAGTCTGCCTGGCATGGGTTGGAGGGAGGAGGAGAGGAGGCCTGTGGCACCCCCTGCCCTGGGCTGGGGCTGTGGTTTGGTGCCAGGCAGCCTGATCATGGTCCCTCTTGCCCCTGTATAACATCTCCCAGCTGCCCCACCCCTGCAAGCACGGGACTGGCCTGGCCTGACCGTGCAGCCCCCCTGGCCCTTTCCCCCTCACTTGCTCATGACTCTTTGAAATATTCTTGTGACTCACTTTTGGGTCATGACCCATGGGTTGAGAAATGCTGCTCTAATTGGTGTTGTATATTTTGATGCAAGAGGTTCTGGTTGGCTGAGGGGGGCTTATGTTATACTACAAACCTGGGCCTAGGTCCAAAATAGAAAAGTGGCTTGTAGTTTTTCCCAGAGGAGACTCTGGAACCACTTTCTCTCTTTTATCCTCCATCTCTGTCATTTCCAGGTATCTGCTTCCCCAGATATCCTGATCTCTGAAACTTCTTTCTGGTCTTGATTGCCAGAGTGTTGTGTTATAAGTAACATGGAAAATCCAAAGCATATAAATTCATTTAATTTAACTAGTATCCAGCAGTCTTTTAAAGTTAGATGGTTTTCAACACTTGTTCTATTGTTATAGTAAACAAAAAGACTTAAAACATTTAAATATCTTATTTCCAAACCATTATATTTGTACTGTTGGTTCAGACAGAAAATGTGTTTTTCTTAAACATATTTCTACTGTAGCAAATATCAATAGAATAAAGATGGTGGCTAAAGCTTCTCTTTCTGTAATTGTTTTTTTTTTTCAGTTTGTGATTTTAAGTCACAATAACTTGATTTTAAAACTTACAGTGGCAGGCACAGAGCTATGAGGAGAGACTTACCTTGGATGAGGGATGAGCAGAGCTGGCAGGATGCTGTGCTGAACTGGGAGCGTGGTGAAAGTGAAACCATGGAACGAGACGATGCCACGTCAAAGAGAAAAAAAAGGAACCGTGGAGCCGGGAGGAGCCAGGACTGGCTCTCGCGCCGGCATGGGCACACTTTATGGTGGTGTGCTGGCGCTGATTCACTGGCCAGTCCCTTGGAGCCGGGATAAAAAGCCCAGCGGAAGAGAGGTGCGGGGGACCAGAAGTAGATTCCCCGGTGGGCCTGAAGCAGGACCGAGCCCCACTGAGGGAAGTGGTGGCTGCCCTGGAAAGGGGCATATGAAGATAAGCCAAGCCCTAGAGGGCTGAAGGACTCACCCAAAGAGATGCCATTGACTCCAGACATCTCCAGACAGGATTGGACCCAGTAGGAACCTGAGGAGAGAAGGAGGGATAGATGTCTATACCACAGCAAGCACAGACCTGAAAGAGGGGGAGATTCACCAGGGAGCAAGGTAACCCGGGGTCAGGTAGGAGTTTGGGCCAGACCAAATATGACTTGCGAAGAACTGGATGACGCAACGTCCAAATCCAGTTAACATAATTCAAAGGCCAGGATATCAGAGCCTGTTTTGGACTGGACTGAGGAAGCAAGAGA